CTTGAGTGTGGCTCTTCCACAAAATACTGACTTTTGCGTATGGGCCACAAAGTTTCAATCACACTGTACGTGCGCACCCGCACATGGTATTTTATGGAAGAGCCACACTCAAGGGGCCAAAGAGCCGCATGTGGCTCTCGAGCCGCAGTTTGCCGACCACAGCACTAGGGGAATTTTTGGGGCTGGGCCACTAAGAATACTGCCCATCACAGTAGTTCTAGCTCTACCACTTTTTTTCCCTTTCAAACAAGCATGCAGATTCACCCTTTCCCCAACCTTTTGAGAATCACCAAAATAGTGTGAAAGCTATTTATCTGAACTTAAGATATATATAGCTCTATAGCTTTATCTGATTACCAGAGCTTATTGTAAGAAAATTCCAAATAATACAGAGATGTCATGTGAAGAGTATAAATCACACATAATGTCTTTACAACCAACAGCCTTTGTTAGATTTGGCAAAGGTCCAACCTAATCTTTCCAATGTACTTACTGATATGCATATGTAATACACAATTTACTTTAGATCTAGACTAGGTCAAATCATCCTAGAACCTTGTAACAGTGTCCTTTTTCTTAACAACTCATACTACTTTTACCCTTTTTTGAAATTTGTAAAAATCTCTTTAATAGACTGTGTGTTTTGTGACTAAATTACCTGGGTCTGTTTGTGCTCACCATCATATTCCCACAGAATACTTCTGAATGAATGAATAAATGAACCAAACAGTATGGAAAATTACTTTTGACCCTTGACCTACTGATTCATTCATTGACCTACTGAGAGCCCACTATGTTGAATCTTTCAAGGCTGCTACAAGTGTTATGTGCCACATTTATTCAGCCAGTGTACTCTTTTTAGTTGTTGTTAATCCTCACCTGAGGATATTTTTTCCATTGATATTTTAGAGAGAGTGGAGGGGTACAGAGAGAGAGAAGCATCGATTGATTGCCTCCTGCACGCAACCCCGCCCCCCCTCTGGGATCTAACCTGTAACCCAGGCATGGTTCATGTCTTTGACCAGGAATTGAAGCCAAGACCCTTCTTTGTGCTGGCCGATGCTCTAACCATTGAGCAACATCACCAGGGCAGGGAATTTGCTTTTTAAATGTATATTTCCTAACAGAATGTAATACTTACCTCGAAGATAGGATTTCCCCCAAATCCCATTTCTCATGTTTGTTGTGAGAAACTAAATTTACTATGTTATAGAAAACTGCACTTGTTAGAATGTTTTAAGAAATTGGGCTTATTCCTCTAAGTTATAATAGTCATTAGTGTGCCAGTGTGTACAATTCACCATCTTGATCTCGTTAACTTCATGCTGTAACTCTATCAAGTCCCTTGCTTTTCAGAGAGCACCCTTCCTCTTTGCTTTCTCCCTACAGGCCTGTTTGACTAAAATAAATCTCACGATTCTAAAACACAATGCAAAGCATGTTTCTTTGTCAACAATAACACATATGTATTGAGCACTTCTAAAATGTCGGGCACACTGCTGAGCTCCTCTGCATACACCATCTTAACCCTCACAACAGGTGGGTACAAGGATGACTCCTCTCTCATAGGGGAAGCTGAGCAGCTTCTCTAACAAAACACCACTAGCAAACTGTATTATGAAGAGCTATTTGGCTCTGAAAATGGAAAGCTCTGGGGAAAAGACAGCCACAATAACAATGTTCAAACATCTGACTGGATTCTTTAGGGTAGAGTGATTAGCACCAAGGAGCTAAGGACCAATGGGTACAAGATTTTCTGAATATAATGCAACGTATGCACAGAGAAGGAATGCGAGCACTGGATGGGTTAGAATGGATAGCCTTTGAGGGCATTTACCACTCTTGAGCCCACTGTTCTCTTCCTCCTCTGTATTTCCCACTTCTCTCAATTCATCATTCTCTCCGACCTGGACCCATATACTATGCATTCATTCTTTTTTTCCACTCAACAAGCATTTGCTGACCCGTATGGTAGCCACTAGCCACAGGTGGCTATCTAAATTTATTAAAATTAAGTAAAATAAAAAATTCAGTTCCAAAACTGTACTAACCACATTTCAAGTGGTCAATAACTGCATGTGGCTAGTGGCTACCACACTGGAAAGTTCTACTGGACAGTGCTGTCAGATAGCTGAGGTAGTGATGGAGCCACAAGAATGAAAAAGCTGAGTTCTTGACCTTGAGGAGCTTACAGCCTGGAGCTGAGGAGCTTACATTACTTTTTTTTTTTTTTGGTTTTCATTTGCTGATGTTTATTTCATTTATCTACAAAACTAGGGACCACAATAACAGAATTCTGTATGAATATAAGATAGAAATATAATATTAATTTGTTTTATTGGCCTAGTAATAAGCAACTAGACAGAGAAATGGGGAAAATATACTATTTTTAGTAGAAAAATATCTATAAATTTTTTTTCTCTCTTTATTAAGGTATTACATATGTATCCTTATCCCCCATTCCCCCACTCATGCCCTCACCCCCCTGTTGTCTGTGTCCATTGGTTAGGCTTATATGCATGCACACAAGTCCTTTGGTTGACCTCTTCCCCTTACCTCCACTTTCCCCTACCTTCCCTCTGAGGTTTGACAGTCTGATTGATGCTTCTCTGTCTCTGGATCTGTTTTTGTTCATCAATTTATGTTGTTCATTAGATTCCACAAATGAGTGAGATCATGTGATATTTATCTTTCTCTGACTGGCTTATTTCTCTTAGCATAATGCTCTCCAGTTCAATCCAAGCTGTTCCAAATGGTAAGAATTCCTTCTTTTTTACCGCAGCATAGTATTCCATTGTGTAGATGTACCACAGTTTTCTAATCCATTCATCTGCTGATGGGCACTTAGGCTGTTTCCAAATCTTAGCTATGGTGAATTGTGCTGCTATGAACATAGGGGTGCATACATCCTTTCTGATTGGTGTTTCTAGTTTCTTGGGATATATTCCCAGAAGTGGGATCACTGGGTCAGATGGGAGTTCCATTAAAAAAAAGATACATTACTTCTTCAGGGCTAACATTATTGAGCTCTTGCTGTCAGTTTTCTACTTTCTGTGACCATCCAGGTGCATCCTCCTAACACCATAAACTAGGTACCATCATTACGCTCACTTTAGCGAGAGAGTAACAAGTTAAATAACTTGCCCAACGTACACGGGGTATTTTGTATAGCGCCTCAGGATCAGGGGGATGTATGCAGGGCCGCAAAGAAGGCGGGGACCCATTTGGGGATCTTAGGGGAAGGTTAGAAGTGCAGATGGATTAACCCCAAGTCTGACTGGCCCATGCTCCTCCAACATGTGGGCCACAGATTATCCACATCAAAATTCCCCCGGTGCGCATGCCAAGGCAGGTTCCCTGAACCCCGTTAGGAACTCTGTGGGCGGGTCCTGGGAACCCAGGTGTGAATGAAGGTCCCACCTCCGCCCAGCGATTCTCTCCTGTTCACGGAATAGGTTCGAGCACCCTGGTCCACACCGCCTGGCCCTTGCACTGCTTCCCCCACTTGGCCCCACACTTGCCACCGACTGCGGATGGAGGCTGGCGGCCGCGCCGCATAATCATAAGCAGGCCCTCCAGGCCTGTTTCCCGGGTATAAACGGGGGCTCCGCGGGTCAGCGGCGCGGCCGCCAGGGGGCCT